TGTTGTAGATTTGGGCCCCCCCCCCCCCTTCTCTCTTTGTTGCAGGAAGTCTGCAAGTTCTTGAAGGATCCCAGTCTCTCCGACAAATTGTTGCTGCAGAATGTTTTTCAGGCAGTAAATTTATACTACAATTATTCAGGAGAAGCCTCATGCTTAGACATGTCTGAGACTGCAACAAAGAATCTGGGCCAGTTGGGTTGGTACTATCAGGTATGTGCTCTACCCATTCTAAATTGCAGGTTGGTGAGGTTTTTTGGGCTAGAGCTGATGAGAATTGTCAAGCCATTTAACTGTCAATATATTGCACCAGATGTAATTGATGTACTGATGACAAATGTAAGCATGAGGCAAGTATGATTGTAGTGGGGAGGACAAGGCAGAAAAGAGAAGCAGCTTTCCCAGGAGGTTTAGGTTGTGTCTTCATTATCTAGATAATTGTTGAATTTCAGCTCTTCATATAGGCTGGAAAATGATGTACAGCAGCAGCATCCTGGTCTTCTAATCGCCCCCCCCCCAATCCCATCCATCCATCCCAATTTGTGCATGCAAATATGTCAGGATATGTTGATACTGATTTCTTTCAACTAAAGCTGTTTATCCTGTAGCTCACTGAGACCCAGCCTTTCCTGTCAAGTAGGTAACAAAAATAGACCCCTGTGGTAAGGGGTTCAGGGCATTCTGCTCTCCCCATCCCATTTACTAAGCACACGTAACAGTTATATACAGTTTCTCTTCTCAGGAGCAGGGCAGCTGCTTCCAGAAATAAGGTGTTAAGAATCAGTGTTCAGGTTGTGACCATCTGCTCTTGGCTACTGTCTGCTATGTATTTGTTCTGGACAGCCCCAGGAGATGTGCAGGCTTTATAAGTTCTCCTCTGAGAAAGGGGGGAAACTCTGTATGAGTAACAAAGAATATGGCAGCTGGGCTCATCAAAACAACACATCTACTCTGCAGCTTGTTCCCTGCCTGCTTCTAAAGGCATGTGGGAAAGGGGGCAAGTAGGGACAGACTGCAAGTTAAATAAATTGTCATGGTGGGGTCTATATTGCTTCCAGGATATAATTAGTTTTTCTTTTTTAGCTAGTATCACTAAGGTGTCAGAGAATAGTTAGTGTGAAAGATTAGATTTTTGCTTGGTATCTGTGTTCTACAAGAAGGGCCGGAAGGAGGATCTGGGTAACTACAGGCCTGTCAGCCTGACCTCGGTGCCAGGGAAGGTCATGGAGTGGTTCATCACACAGCACGTACAGGACAACCAGGTGATCAGGCCCAGTCAGCATGGGCTTATGAAAGGCAGGTCCTGCTTGACCAACCTGATCTCCTTCTATGACAAGGTGACCTGCTTAGTGGATGAGGGAAAGGCTGTGGATGATGTCTACCTAGGCTTTAGTAAAGCCTTTGACACCATTGTTGACAGCATTCTCCTGGAGAAACTGGTGGCTCATGGCTTGGATGGGCACACTCCTAGCTGGCTAAAAAAACTGGCTGGATGGCCGGGCTCAAAGAGTTGGGGTGAATGGAGTTAAATCCAGTTGGCGGCCACTCACAAGTGGGGCTCCCCAGGGCTCAGTATTGGGGCCAGTTCTGTTTAATAT